AAATCCTGCTTAAATAAGTATGAGCAGCAAAATGTAGGTACAGCGTTAAAGGTACAGGTTTGGTCCCTCTTACTGTTGTATGACAGCATTAGATTATTGTGTGTCAGCAGCTTGTTGCTGTTGTAGCTGCTGCAGGTGGAGAGAGTTTGAACTATTTTACAGTTTCATCTACAGGAACAGCAAAGCCTGAGAGGTGATCAGTGGGAGAGGAAAGAAGAAACAGCAAAGCTCTGATCTACAAATCTACCTTCACATCTTGGACTTTTTCTTCTAATCTTTAATTTTTTTTTAGATATTGGATCATTTACAAAATGAGTTTCGAGAGAAAAATCACCATTTGATCAAACTGTCAGTGACTCACATACATCTCAAATGTGAGCTAAAACATTTGGAAACTGCTGGCTTAATCTGTGAAAATGTGCTGGTTTTAAAAAACACTGTTGTATAAAATCTTTAGATTAAAAGTAACTAAAGCTGCCAGATAAATGGGGTGGAATGGAGTAAAATATTTAACTGTGAAATGTAGTGGAGTGAAAGTATAAAGTAGCATAAAATAGAAAAACTCCAGTAAAGTGCCTCCAAACTCCAGTGAAGTAAAATGCTTGAGTAAATGACTTTCTTCTACTGCTAATGAATAAACCAAATGTTCAAACAGTTTGAAAGAACACAAGCTTCTTGGTTTTGGTTTTATATCAACATATCACACAAAACTTTCTACTGATTCAATCTGACATCTGCAGAATATCTGCATGTTCACTGCTCATGTGCTTAAAAGACACTGAAAGTTTACGCTACGCTTTTTATTAATTCTTCCAATTTTTAACAACTTAATTTGTTTGTTGTTTAAACAGAAGAGCAAATCCTCTACAGAATCCTGAATGCTCAGGTTGTTTAAAAAGGCAGCATTAATGCAGAACAGATTTGGAGTTTTGAGTCAGTCTTATTGAACTTCTTAAAAAGTGTTAACACAATTAAACAGCACTGTTGCCTTATTTATGTGGCCATATACTGAGAGAATTTATGAGACAACACACTGAGCTGATTTTTGTAAAAAACCTTTGACCTGCTGTGAGCTTTCAGTCCTGAAACATGAACAGGGAGCTGCTTTAATGTGCTTTGCAGTTTTACTGTAACCTCCTTTTGTAGCAGCTGAACCAAGAGTTTAGCTCTTTGCAGTTTTTGCTTAATTGTGTCCCCGTTGTCTGCTCTAGATGTTGTACAGAGAAGAGGAAGCCTGAGGTAAGGAGGCCACTCGGCTGCTCTGTTAAACTCCTTCACCTGGAAAAATGTTACACACTGAACAGTGTCATGAACAATTATTACATATTTGGTGACACCTAGAGAGTGCCACTCAATGATGACACCCTTTTTTGTCACATTAATCTACCCACACACTGAAATGATGCTTTGGTGGTACATAATTAAAAATCCTTGATGTAGCCCAGAGTCTATAGAAACTGATCTGACTTGCTGAGCTCCAAACTCTGTCCATGACATTTTTTAAAAAAAGATATAATGTAGAAATAAAAATAGCAACCACCAGACTCCACTGAATTTATCATGACAACATCATGCCTTGTATTCCTTCATGCAGTCATTCTTGTTAGACCAATAAGACCACTGGACATCTCTCCTTCTTACATGCTGATACTGAAAATATGTTCACAATGCAAACATTTCTGCAAGGTCATGTTACCTCTGCGTCTCCTTAAAGGGGACGTTTTCGTTTGCTCTTATCTAAAAACAGTCACTGACGGGAAGAAAACAATTTCAACAAAATTATTATTCGACTTTATTGGTCTTCAGGAAACTAAGGATTAACAACAAAAAGGAAAAAAGTAAAGCTAAATCGATTTTTAGTTCAGATCCAGATCCTCTTTGTGGGCTTTTACAACAAAGCTTTCTGCACTAAAGAAGAAATGTTCTATAAACGTTCCCCAATTTGACCTAAAAAGGACGAGAATTCAACTTTAGTTCCTCACACTTCTAACTTTTAAAGTTATTTTTTATGAGTTCATTTGACTTCACTGTGGAACCTTTTGGCGTTTGGAGAAATCACGCAGCTCATTTTTCAACCATTTACAGATTTTTGAAAAATAGATTTGGTGAATGTAGCTTCACCAACAATGTCAAGGATGCTCCAGGATCAGCAATTTAAAGTTTAATTTAAAAAAAAAGAAAGGTCTATCTGCAGATTATAAGAGATGTGTCATCATGACAGAGTAACGGTGACTTACGATCAGCTGTTGAGTTGTAATTTAAAGAGACCAGGCTGAGGATGATAGTTGGCAAGATTAGTTGTAATAAAGAAAAACAACTATAGAGAATGTGTCCATTTATGAGGTTGGGTTGCTTTTAATTAAATGTATTTAAGAAACTGTTACATGTGGCAGCATTTTCCCAAAAAATATTGAGCCACCGGAGTTCATACAGTATGCATCAGTGGAAGACATTCTGGTTACTTTGCTTTTTAAGCTCGCGACGCAGATTTACGCATAAAAAAAAATATGATGATGTCATCTGATGAGTGAGGGTCCACGATGACAGACAGACAGACAGATCCTGGAGGAAAAACACAGCAGCAGCAGCAGCAGCAGTAGGGAGAGAGAGAGAGAGAGTGAAGGCTAATCTATTTCACAACCCGACCCGGAGCCAAAATGGACTTTGGACAAAGCGCGGAGTCAGAGGTCACTCCGATAGCTGCAGCGTGTGTGGCCGCGCAACAGAGCGCACAACTCCTCATTCCGAGATAATGAACGACAGGCAGACGATGATCTCACTTAGGGAAAATGATGTGGGCTAAAATTAGCCTGGTAGTTTATAAAAGCAACGACAGGCAACATTTAAAAAACAAGAAATGTATATTCCCCCCCCCCAGGAGTTTAACCTTTTAACTGCTGCTGACAGCCATAAAAATGTTCATTGTAGAAGCTTTAAAGGGCTGATGACTGCAAGACTGTAAACACGAGTAAATAAGAATAAATAACAGCAAGTGTTGAACAGTTTATGTAACATTTGCCTTTCTTTTTTTCCTAATGTCCCATCATCTATAGGAGACGTTTGCACCACCCAGCCACATGTACATCCTCCACTCCATATGGTTCTTAATGCAAAAGAGAATTTCCTTTCGTTGCAGTTACTTCTCCGGACTTCCAATTCTGGACTGCGTTACGCACTGATTACGCATATTAAAGCGTGCGTAATGGAAGTATAAAAATGACCCATTTACTGCTCACCTCATGACTGCCTCAAGACTCTGGGTGGAAAGGTCCCCACACGGAAAAAACCAGCAGCAGAATCACGTGTAATAAATAAAAATAGTAATAATGATGTGGACATTATGACTGAGTGGTGAACAGTCAAAGAGCAAATGTGCTTTGTTTGTGCAAAGAATTTATCCAAGATGATCTGAGTAAACAGACTGAACAGGAGAACTCAATAAGGAAATCAGATGTATTTATTTATTTATTAGGATATCTGAGGAAAGGAGTAACTGGAAAATAATGAGTGATAGTCTGTAAAAGACACAGCAGAAGAGCTGGTGTTGTTTTTATTTATAAAAGCTTACAGTGGTTGTGTAAAAAAAAAAAAAAAAAAAAAAGGATTTTATCTTATTCTTCTCTGTTTACATTTAACAAGTGTAATGAAAAAAAAATGCTATTTAGGTTTATTCTGCCTTTAAATAATATATATTTTTAAATACTGCACGATACCATTACAGTAAAACAGACTAAACTTCCAGAGTTATGGTGCAGAAGGACTGGGAATGCTTCAATCATGTGTGTTGTAAACTGACAGACCAGTGGTTGAACAACATTTAAGGAAGTTGCCTATTCTTTTACACATCTCAGCTGTCTCAAATAAAATCCCATCTTTTTATATGATTGGCCATAATATGAGCTGCATGGGCTTTACATGCTACAGAGATTTTTTTTATTACTTGGTTTTTAACTGGTTGCAGTTTAAAAGAGATCAGAACTGACAGGTAACACACCATGAACCAAATGTCCAAATGTTATAGTTATACTGGGAATAAAGCTGGTTATAGAGAACTATGTGTGGATACTTTCTATAAATGTAAATCACACTAACAGCTGTTCAGCTTCTCTGTAAAACAGTTGAGGGTCCTTTTTTGTGAGTGTGTGTTTGTGTGGAAGAAAATTCTATAAAAATACAGAAAAAATGTGTTTTCTGTAAAATAAGATCCCCATACAGAAGCAATATGATCTAGTCCTTCCAGTGACCTCTCTTTGGCCCCTGAACCCACCATGGAAACCACTTGCTTTGTTTTTGGTACACTAGTTAGTTCAAACTGGTGTAGTGAGGATAAAACAACAACAGTGATCAATCACAGCAGCAGTAATAAAGCAACTATATAACCAACACCTATGGGATTCCTGAGCAACACTGACAGGCAACATCCCATAATCCAAACACCATCCATGCTACACTGTGGATACAAGTAGAAGTAGAGAAGTTTGGCAAATGTGATTAGAAATCTTTGCATACATATAACTAAAGGCTGTTAAACTGTTCTGTGTTAAAGACTATTAAACAGATGAGGTTAACAGATCTCCACTAGAGCTGTTTTTTTAATGTGGATTTATTTTTTTTGAGTTTTATTTTTATATGATGCAATTGCATTTACTTTACACGCCTTCACGTTTATTTTCTTTCATAATAAAAGTCCTTAAATATAACTTTAGTGACCTCCTTTTTGGCCCCTGAGCCCACTTTGGAGACCACTTGCTTGTTTTTTGGTGCAATTGCCTCTTTTTTTCCACACATATGCGGATAAATCAACAACAGTGATCGATCGCAGCCATAAAGCAGCTCCTTGGATCACATCTCTGCTCCCTGCGTGTCTCTTCTTCATGGATCCCCGGTGATCTGGAGACATGTGCCACCCCCCCCCCTTCTCTCTCTCGCTCTCTCTCTCTCTCCCCCCCGTCTGATCGCCTCAGCTCCTCGCTCTGCCTCTCCACATCAGCTGATCCGTCACGTGGTCTGGTGTCGTGGGTCACCCTTTTTGCAAAATGGAGTTGTCTGAGTCCGTGCAGAGAGGGCTGCAGGCTCTCGCCGACGCTTCCGCCTTCGACCAGAGCAGCTTCCAGGCGCTGATCGACGCGTCTCACCGGAGCCTGCTGTCCTCTCACGGAGACCCGGCGGTCCTCGGTGAGCTTACCGCCTCCCTTTTCTCCGCCGCTGCTTTTGTCTGCGCCGCCGCTGGTGCTTCCGCCTTTCCCTCGATGTGGATCGGAGCCGCGTCGACGTTTTTTTGTTTTTTTTGCGGGTTTCTTGGCGGCGCTACAGCCGGGATCCCCCCGCGTTTTTATTACGAAGATCTTTAATGAGGCGACGCAGCCGAACAGACAGCCGCCCATCAGCTGCGTGAAGGCGATCTTAGGCTTTTCTGCTGCCTGCTTTGCATTCAGCGGCGGTCACACGGCCACTCGGGATACCTTTTGTCATTTAAACTGGCACCGAGTCCGCTCTGCACATTAGATGTTACGCTATTTCCACCGCGGGTTGCTTCTTTACGCAGATCTGTGAATCCAGCATCAACAGCACCTCTCCATGACTTATAAATATAAATCATGCAAAAATTAAAAAAGAAAAAAAATGTAAGCACACTTGGCTACTTTACGCGCTATAAGCTCCCTCCTGCTCCGTCCTGGTCGCCTCCACATGACCGCGCGTTGTCCAACTTCTGCAGCATTCCAGCTCATTTTAATGGCAGAATTATTTAGAAAGTGAAGTGTTCACTAGACAAACAAACAAAGGACCCCCGGCTGATGCAGCTGAGGGGCCCCATTCACATGCAAATCGTCATTGATTTCCATTCTGCGCGTCAATCTGGAGAAACCCCAAGTATGGATCGCAGAAGCCTCCATCATTTATTCACGCAAACCAAAAACGTTGTGTCGAGATGGAATGTTGGAGCGAACTCCGAGACGGCATCCTCCTCCTCCTCATGTTTTGTATTTTATGATTTCAGATCAGCCCGAGCTGAAGCAGATCGACCAGATCTTGCTGAAGCAGATTCACACAGCAGCCACCACCTTCATCCTGGAAGCGGTGAAACAAAACGCAGACAAGTCTACGATAAGGTAGGTGACATCCGACGGAGGATGGTTTCCTCTGCGACCCTTGCACATGCTGTGGCATTTCTAAAAATGTAAAGGCGAATGACAGCATGTTGCTCAGCATGTTTCTAGCTACGTTGCATGTAAGAAAAGTATGTGGCTGCGTCTCCCGAGAGAGCATGAAGCCATCCAAGATTGCAGCAATAAATTTAATATGCGACATGTTGTCTTATTTTCTTCTGGAAGTACAAGAAAGGCAAAAAAAAAAAAAAAGTGCAAAAACAGCACCTAAAATTCTGCAATCTGAAAGAAAACATTGCAACTCCATGTGTCTGAATCCTGCATTTTCCTTCTCACAAAGACACTAATTGACGCAGAAAAAGCACAAACTTTCACCAGAATAAGTGCACAAAATTCTAGAACCTCCTCCTCTATGTGCTTCTCTCCCTGTAAACAAACTCTGCAGCAGGAGGTCACGGTGTTTCTAATAAAGCATGCTGTGGTTGTGTTCTGCTGCCTGTGTAGCCTCTGTCCCAGATGTTCTGCTTGTGCACTTGCAGTTCTGTTGGCCTACTTACTGTCAGTTTGCGCAAATTGGCATTATTACGCAACTTTTGCAACCGTCCAGTCATGTGAAGTTTTCGTGGGAGCAGGATGAGTGGTTAGCTTCTTTTTTCCAAATTATTTAGAAAGCTTCTCACCCTTTCTGTCGTATTTTCTGTATCATTAGAGAGGAGAGGGTGTTATTCTGATTACCATCATAGTTGTGTGTTCAGGATGTGAAGGGTGAACCTTCAAGGGTACTGAAGGTGTGAATTTGATTTAAAAAAAAAAAAGCAGCTACACTTCCTTTACATTTCTGCAGATGCATGTCTTTTTCCTCTTGTTTTCTCCCTTTAAACCCCCATTTTTGGTTGTTCTCTACATTCTAAAACTCCATTCAAAGGGGAATTACAAATGACTGTGAAGAATTAGTTCCCTTGTGTGCTTCTTTTTGAGTTGAAGGGCAAAAATGTGTGGTTGCCTCTGAAATACCGATGACAAGATATGAAACTCTGACTCAAGAAGATGCATTTTTGTTGAAATCAGCTGCTGATTCAAGTGTTGTTCTCTTCTTTCTTGCCCCTCACAGCTCCAGCCTGGAAGAGCTCACATTCAGTGCAGAGAGGATAGAGATATTCTGTAGCATATATCAGGTACATTTCAAACCATGTTGTATAGTTTTCTAACTTGCCCACAAATATTTGATGCTCTGTTGTTTGTTTTCCAGAAATATAAAAAAGAAGTGGAACATCTATTAGCAAGGTAAGGTTGGAATGGGATGTGATGGAGATGGTTGTGGTGTTACTTTGAATTTGGATAAAGTTTTGGAATGATGTTCTCACTGAAAAACTAGAATATCAGTGAGATTTTATTTTTTATGAAGTTACAAATTTTAACACTGCAGATTTATTAGCCTATAAAGTGGATATCGACGATTTTATTTTTTATTTTTTATTGTAGTACTTTTAGGACACCAGATGACAAGGGGAAAATTTAAAAAACTGGGCTCAGCATTAGTGAATATTTGAGCTCAACTAGTTCAAAGAATGAGCCTGCATCCACAAAAATGGGAGGAAGAGGTGGCAAGTTGTTGCTTCAGCTTGTTAATGAGCAGGGAGGGTCTTTGTGGAGAGTGATTAATTGCAATATAAGTGCTGCTTTATGACGTGCCATTAACAAACGCTCTTTGTGGGAGAGAGAGAGAAAGCCTTCTAAACCACACGCACTATTTTAATCATGCGCAAAACTTGGGAGACACAAAGCTCTCCTGCGTCCTTGCTCGTTTTCTCTTCTTCCCCAAAGCAACCTTGTCTTTTCTCTCTTTCTCTCTCAGCATAGGAAGGCGTCCGGCTCAGATCAACGACGTCTCATGGCGTCTCCAATACCACATGAAGGTTATAGATGCACATCAGGTTGTCTTGTTTTCTTGCCGGATTCGTTGCGTGAATCTAACGTGTTGTCCCTCCCCCCCGACAGAACGGACAGGTCGATAAGGTCAACGAGCCTTTCTACTCGATATCACTGAACAGCGAGGTAACGCAGCCGCACTTTTATTCTTCTTTTCTGTTTTATATCTGATGAAAGAAAAAAAAAAACAATGATCTTGTTTGTTCCTTTTGTTAGAAAGAAGGATGCTCGGAAGATATCAACTTCACCTGCACAATGGAGCAGCTGCAGGTATGGAGGACTTTTTTTTTGGGATGCTGCTTATTTGTCGATAACCTTTAGAATCTCGCAGCTTTTACGCACCACATCCAGCCTCCTCATTGGACAGCAAATGGAAAAAATGTGTACTCACTGAACTGATCGCTGTGGGGAAATTCCCATCTTCAACTTCTAAACAAAATGCATATGTTAAATCGCTTTATTGTGTCTGCAATATGAAGGAGCTGCAGGGAAGATTTTGCGCATGAATGTGATTTTCATTGCTGCATCTGCGCAACAGTGCAGATTCGGGCATCTAACTGCAGCCAGAACTTCAATATAAAATAACTGGAACATGTCGTGACTGATATCGGATTGATGGTGATGCATGAAAATATTAAATGATAAAAATGTTCATGCAACATCTCTGTTGTGTTTAAAAATGAGAAAGTTTCTGTGGGCGGCTTAGTTTTAAACCAGTGATGAGATAAAATAATGTGGGATGCAATCAGACTCACGAAATATTCTTCTTTTAGTCTGAATCCAAATACTTAACGCCTTCTAATTTTGTCTAATTCTCACGCGTAATGCTCCCGATGATATATTTTTCATTTGACATTTTAGGTGATCTCCATCGGTTTTATTTTTTTGTCCTCCAATTGAAATGATCAGTGTTTGCTTGTTTTCAGGATTTGGTGGGGAAGTTGAAAGACGCTGCCAAGAGTGTGGAGAAAGCCAGTCAGATGTGATGCTGGTGTCCAGTTTCCTCCCCTACAAAGCACTGAACTCATCCCGTTTCCAGCGGCGTTACGCATCTCTTTCTAACTTGTTTTGTACCTGAGATTGACATGTTTGTCTCTGTTCTTTGCTGAACAAAAAAAATAATAAAGCTGCCTTGTTCCTTGAATGATTCCAAAGCCTCATATGTTCGAAACAGTGTTTGTAAGATTTTATTTATTTATTTATTTTTTTGGTGGAAAAGTATTTTAATAAACCTTCTTGACGTCCTTGTCACATTGAAGGTTCGTGTCAGAGAGGGGGGCTTTGTAAACACGACGAAGCCTGAATAGGATTTTTGCCATAGTTGCATGACAGCAGTGTATTTAGTTTCCTGCCGCATTTGTTGCAACAAGAGACGCTGCTTTGCTTTTTCTGGACCACCCTATTTTTAAAAAGCCATATCTACTCTTTTCCAAATCGCTCTGTAAGAATTTCGCTCCCTTCCCTTAAGAATCCTTCTGCATCCACCTCAGCTTCAAAAGTTGAAAAAAGCTGCAGCAGCACGGCGGCTCGGATTCCATAAACATCCGAGATGCCTTCATTTTCAGCGGCGCTGGGTGAAGGATAAAGGCTCCAATTCATCAAGTGGAAGTTGTGGCGCATTTTTCTTCTTCTTCTTCTTCTTCTTCTGCAGATGTCAGGACAGCCTGACATGACAAAGGTTTGACACCAGAGCCATTTGTCACACGGGCGGATTTTAACCGAGTGTCTTGAAAGCAACAATCACCCAGAGATTAATAAAGCAGCTGCCTGGTGCTTCGGTGGACTTGATGTTATATTGAAAGAATTGACGGTCTGAACGTGTGTGTGAGCGCGTGTGCTGCTGTTATTTTTAACATCAGAGACGAGGGCGCACCATTAGTAGCCTACTTTCTGTACACCCCCCCGATCACTCGTGCCATTTGATCCAGCCTCATGTGCATATTGGGCCATATTCCGTCTTGTTTTGCTGAAAAGTGTTTCAAACTAGGTGAATGTGTGTTATTTTAAATCATGCGTCATACATTAGAAACACCAGAATACACCGACAGTAATTTTTATGCGCCCTTAAGCAGCCACTTGGTGCCATTTCAGCTCCACTCCAAAGCGCAAAACTACCGAGAGCTTCGTAAGATTCCGCAGTTTCAAACCTCTCCCCAGGTTATGTGTGTAATTTCTGTTATTTTCTATCATGCGTAGTAGATGAGGAGAACCAGCTACACCGACAGTAATTCCAAGGCACCCTTAAGCAAGGGATCACGTGACCAAAGCGGGGCGGTCGAACTACAAGCCATTTTGGGGACGGTGTCAGTTTCCACGGAGCACACACACACTGCTGCATTTTACTGGGGGCGAAGCGGATATTTTGGAGGCAAAGTTATCGGTGCCGAAGTGGGAGCCCTACCGAGCCGAAGCCGAAGGTGTTGGGCTGTTCCGGAGCCGCGGATCGGATACGCACGCAGCGCGCAAGCGGCGAGGAAACGCGGAGTTTTATTCGCACATCTGAAATGCGCTCCGGTCCGCCGTGCGCTCTCCGCCACTGACAGCGTCTGCAGCCTGCTTCAAGATGGCGGCTCGGCTCCTATTCATTTTCTGCTGATCGCCTCCCAACTTTCATTGTCTATCCGCCTCAAGACCCACCGATCCCCAGCCGAGCCTCCAGGTAGGTCTTCTTCGATATCGTCTCTAACTAACGGGGGCAGAAGGCGACGTTTGAAGGTGGCGCTTTTGTGCTTTTTTGTACGTAGCGATCCAGCGGTGGATGTGGAGCTTTCAACGGTGGCTGCAGCGATCACCGACGTGGAGCTCCGTGTGTGTCTGCGCACCACTTTTTTCCTGCAAAACATGTTCCCCGCTCGGTTCTAAACGCCCGTTCGGGTTCGGGGAACCTCACCGTAGCACCGTGGGGCGTTCAGGAATCTGTCTGTTTAAGTTGATCGCGCTCAGCGCTCGCGTTGCGTCGTTTGGATTTATGTAAAGTGGAAGATCTGAGGCGAACCAGGCTGGGTTGACTGAGATGTTACCAGCAGCAAGTGCTCCAAACGGTCCTTCTGTGGCCGTGTTTCCACGCAGCGACTTCATATTATAGAGTTGGGATGTTTGGGGTGTTGGGATTCGGGTGTTGTGTTGGTTTTCGGTGTGGGTGACCGCATGTTGGATTTATTAACTTAACTTGGGTCGCTCCCATGGACGTGACAGGGAGGCGAACCATTTCAATTGTGCATAAATGTTTCATGACTGGCTGCTTTGGAAACAGTGGATCGCGGTTCAACAGACACTGTGGCTGTTTATGGTTTGGTGTCTGATTGTGCTGATTGAGAGGGACGGGGGATTTTTGGGAGAAATTAAAAAAAATCTACGTTGGTGACACGTCGGCCAGGATACAAAGGGGTGGCTGTGTCTCAGCAAGGAGCCTTAAATTCACTTAAATTCACACGAGCTGCGGCTGGAACACACTGCTTGTTTGTTCACATTTAAGCTCATCGTGGATTTCAGGATTTTCACGTTTATGCTGCGAAATGTTTGCAGCCGAAGCGTAGCTCTGAATTTGGTGACACAGGAGACGCAGGCTTTCTCTCTGGAGGGAAAAAAATTATCATTTCTCCTCATGAATGCTGCTGGGGACCCTGCGTGTGGGTAATGGGTTAAAATTAATGTATTTACCCCCACTCGAGGTTTTTTTTCCCCTCTTCTTCTTCTTTTTTTTTTTTTTGCAAGTTGACAGCCTCTCAGGTCTGACACTGGAGCCACACACACACACTGGATGCGTAAAGAGAAACCATCCAACACACCGGATTTAAACTTCTCCCTTTGTTTTTGACTCCATTAAGCTTTCAGTCGCTTTTTAAAATCACCATTTTCTAAATGTGAGCTCTTCTTGGTTTTTCCCATCGCCGATTTTAATTGGGTTATTTCCAGCTGCTGTTGGTCTACATGTAAAAGAGGAGGGGAACCTTTACAAGAGGAAGTGGTCTCGTTTGGGGTGGAGGGGAGGGGGGGGGATAAATGAGTTTGGCACAAGTGAGGGTCACCTCAAGAAGCGAGGGGGAATCTCTCTATTTGATGTTGCTTTATTGGGAAAATGGAAGATTCAGTAGCTGCTGAGAATTAATTGATGATGTGTCACCAACACCGACTCCATAATTAAGCCTCTTTGCGCATTTTTAACGAAGAGGAGCCTGAAGGTTCGGTGGTGTGAACGGGAGCAGGATCGCTTGGTGCAATATTCGTTCCCAATATGAATGAATGAACTTTATTTGGATTTGTGCACTGATTGACTTAAAAGTCTCCCACAGGACAGAAGGGAGAGCAGTTGTCCAAACACAGGTCAATCGATTAATGGCGCAACAGGCGTATGTAGACATTATCCATCATTATCCATGTGTGAGGCATCCTTTGAACGGAGGCTCTGTCCAAACCTGCCTGAGAAGCGGCCAGGAGAGAGGGGTCGGTTGGACCATTGAGACCAGCCGGGACTCGGGCATGGTGCCGACTGTGGCTCCATAAAGTAACAGTGTGGGTCCAGAGCTGGACAAGGCTGGCTGTCATCCAGCCTTTAAAGAGGGTCACCTCCTCATGTCCGCTCTCCAGGCTATATAGACTTTTAATCACTGGCACTTTCTTTTTTTTTGCCAAATTCCTCCAAATGATGCCTCTAACTGCCTGTTTTCTTCTTCTACAGTCATTGTTCTCCAACATCAATTTGCTTCGTCGCTCATAAAATTTCAATCAAATGTTTAAAAAAACAAAAAAACCCAGAGTGAGCTACTTTGGCATCCGAGGACTGAGCTTTAGTGCTTCGGTCTCAGTTAAACCGAAACATCCTCCACAAACACAAAGTATATAATCTGGTGTCGATGATCCGTAGCGCTGCTTCGGTTGAGAATGGCGCACAATAAAATACTATGATCCAGTGTGCGCTTCAACTTCGGCGCAGTCGCTGCTGTCTGGCCATGTTGGTGCTGCACGGTGCTGATTATCGCGCACACGCCATGAAAAAAAAAACACACACACGGCGCAAAGGCGAAGCGGAATAAAGCTCGACTCGGACGCGCGCACACACACTCCGTAAAGATCTGGAAAAGCTCACGTAAACGCGTCGGGGCTGGATTTTTGCCCCCTTTTTCGAAAGGAAACCCCGCAGCCCGTTGAACCGATACGGGCTTTCTCTCTTTTTTTTTTTTTTTTTTTCCTCCACAAAATGGCAGCCGTGCTGTCGGCAGCCTGGCAGTCCAGCGGCTGTCTGTGTGCGCGGAGGGACGGAGAGACTCGGGTCCCCTCCTCGTTCCTCGCTCTGCTCACCGGCAGCTCGCCGTGCTGTTGTTTTGGTTTAGACATCCAGTCCTGTTCTGGTCACTGGCGACCAGCCATGTGGGCTAAAAGCAAAAGGAGTTGCCATAGAAACGCTCAGGTTTCCCCCCGTAAGCCTGTGTGGCACACCTGACGCAGCGACTGGGACTCGTATCATCCTCCTCCCCTCTTTTCACCCGCAGTCACCCCGGGGCGCCACACACCCGTGGACACCGAAAAGCGGAGCCGTGGCCACAGAATCAAATCTAATATAAGTAACAGCTGCCTGTGTTCAGTGTTTTGCTGCTGGATTTAATTCCACCGTGTCTTTCTATCTCCACATCTGCGCTCCAGTTTAAACCAAAGCTGGACTAAAGCGCCGTTCTAAACTGTAAACTCTCCAAATGTTTCCGCGCCATGGCTCTTTTTTTTTTTTGGATCCTTTTGATCTAAGCTCGTCTCCCTCCTTTTTTTCTTTTCTTCTTGTTGTTGTTGTGAAAAGCTGCGCCGTTCCTCTGGTGTCGCCATGTGTTGAACGATGTTGAAGCGATGGAGAGGAGCGCAGAGCTCCATCGATCTCAGGGGAAGCGATTGATTTATGATTATTCGCTGCGCCTCGGTCAGGTGACTGCGGAGCCTCTCAATCCAGCGCCGGGAAGCTTTTCCCTCTCTGCTTATTTATTCGAATTAGCATAAAAGATGGTGTTGCTTTAACGCAGTCAAACAAACAGTAGCTTCTTTCTTTCTTATTTTTTTTTTTTTATCCTCCAAATGGTCCCTCTTGCGCTGTCACACAAACCTCCGCGGCTGATTGCGCCCTTGCGTGCACTGTTGTGACATGTTCCCTCTTTTCCACGCAGGATTGTTGTTTTCGTTCCCTCAACATGCATCGGACGACCAGGATAAAGATCACCGAGCTCAACCCTCACCTCATGTGCGTCCTGTGCGGAGGATACTTCATAGACGCCACCACCATCATCGAATGTCTCCACTCATGTGAGCAAAGCTTTATTCATTGCAGGCTGGAAAAGTGAACTCGGAGTTGTGCAGAATATGCTGCAGCAGGTTGAAGCCTTCAGGAGTTTTTCTTGCATGCTTCCCTTCACCTTTGATTTGAACAGACTGCAGCTTTAGATTCTTCAGGATATCCTTTCAGATGACATCTGATATTGACAGATTTTTTTTTCTCCTTCTTCTATGGTTTGCAGTTTGCAAGATGTGCATTGTGCGCTACCTGGAAACCAGCAAATACTGTCCCATCTGTGATGTACAAGTGCATAAAACCAAGCCACTGCTCAACATTAGGTGAGAACTGTGCAAATTGAATTTTCAGCCAAACTAGTTTAATTTCTCTCTGTTTCCTTTAAATATTTTCTTTCAGCCTTTTTGTTGTGCCTCATGATAGCTCAAATTAATAGGACATGTGTGTGTGTTTCTTTATGTTCTTTCTAATCCATAGTAAATAAATTTTTCTGCATTTGTAATTCTCAGCAGCAGTGTTAATAATGTCTCTTTCTGGGTTTGCCCTTTTGCTTCCCCACTGAATCAGCCATTCATGTAAAATTCTCAAACACTAGATCACTTGTGTGATATATTTTAGATTTCAACAAACCTTAAATACCAGCTTGTCATGTCTGATTATGTGCCAAAATGTTAGAAATCCATGTTACAGAACATCTACCCTCAACACACTTTAAGCTGATTTTCCTTCTCATCCAGGCGACCAACTACACTGTCCTTTTTTTTTTTTTTTTCCTAGTTTCAGCTGAAAATGTCCTGTATTTGTGATGCGACTGACGTTTCTCATCCTCTCTTCAGGTCTGACAAAACTTTACAGGACATCGTGTACAAGCTGGTCCCCGGCCTCTTCAAAAGTAAGAGCACCACGGTCGAGTCACACGTGTATTTTCAGTCTGACTCAGCTTTCTCTGGTTTTCGTTTGACACGTTTTGTTTCGTTCATATATTTGGCAGAGGTGGAAAACCGCAGCAACTGTCCTGACACAGAAAACATGACCAAAAATAAATTCGTTACCCCTCTGGAAACAGTGCAGATATTTCTAAATAATTATGTTAAGAAATGATGCATTGTTTTGCGTCATATCAACCAGTTATCAGTTTAAAATCTGTTGTAAATGCACTGCTGTGAGCTGAGATGACTTGTTTCCACTCAGCCTCTTGTTTCAAAACTTTCCTAAAATGCAGAAAGTTCTGACCCAATATAAGCAGATTATGTGACAGGTTTTAAGGCTTGTTTGCTCTATATGTAGGATAATGTTGTCAAATTTGTAAGGTCTTACTATGTTGAGCACTGCATATGTTGTTAGCTGCACTATACAAATAAAATTAACTTGATTTGACTTGAAATGTGTTGAATTAACTCAAGAATTTAGTTCAGATTTATTGCTGATCACCATCTCTGCTGCATTCAGAATGTTGTGTTTGTGAGAAATGAAAGTGAGCAGACTCATAATAACTCGCCTTTCTGAATGTCTTCAGATGAAATGAAGAGGAGGAGAGACTTCTATGCGGAGCACCCGGTAGATGGTGAGTCAGAAAGGCATGGATTGATATTACTGGTATTGGATTTCTGTTTTGGCACTTCGATGGAGAGGAGAACGAATGCTCTATTTCTTTTGGATGAAAGCTGTTTTTTGTCAGAAATATTTATTATTTGTAGACTCCTGTTTGTGTATTCACTCTAGCTCATCTGTGTGTGTTTTTCTGTCTACAGCTTCTAACGGATCAAATGAGGATCGTGGCGAGGTGGCCGACGAGGACAAGAGAATAATCACAGATGATGAGATCATCAGCCTCTCTATTGAGTTCTTTGATCAGAGCAGGTAGGCTTCTTTGAACAATGACTGATTCTGCATATTTCTGTTTAAATCCTTCACAGCAGACCTGAAAACAACATTTAATTCATTTACAGGGGTTGTTTTTAGGAAATGTAGTCGGTTTTCATTAAGGCTAAAAACATGGGTTATGCAGTGTTATTAAGTAATGTTATGTGGTCCAAAAGAATCTGGATATTAAAGATGTGATAAAGTATAAAAAATGATCCAACCCAGTGTAAATGATGGTGTTGTGAACCTTTTACTTTCCTGTCAGCATCAAACATTTGCCTGAAGATATAATACATGGGTGTGACACATTTTATCAGGTTTAAAAATGGACTTTTCTCCTGTCGTCTTGTTTTAGTATCACCTCTGTTACACCCACAGATCACTGATTGTAAAATCATGTCAAGATATCAGCTTTCCATCCTTGTATTCTATTATTTACAAGCATGCTACAGATGCTGACAGATCTTTTGGATTCCATGTTAAATACTATTTGCAACTCTTTAGGAAGGAAAAAAAAGCATCTGTAAATTATTTTGTTTATTTTATTGAGATTCTGATTTTTTTTTTCTGTTCTGGTTTTGACTCATGGTGAATATGTAAATATGACAGAGCTGAATGGTTCCTAATATTGTCCCCATGTCTCCTCTGTGCAGACTGGGAGTAGCAGTGGAGGACAAGCATTCGAAAGATCAGGTACCACATGTTGATTTGCTCACATTCTCTTCTGTGCCGCTGTCAGTATTTTTGTCTTGTTACCAACCACAAAAGCATGAAACATCCTACCAGCGGATGCATATTGTGACATGTGTTTATCCAAAACACTGCTTTACTTCCTCTTGCTAAACAGCTCCACCGTTTTTGCAAAGCAAATATTCTTTCTCTGCATTTAAGGTGGACCAACCTACGTGCTCTGAAAATGATTTTTCTTTTTTTTTAGTCACTGTGTATTGTTTTATTCAAATACATAGACATCATTTTGTAATATTTAATTTGATGTGCAGGTGGCTAACAAGAGGTACCTGCAGTGTCCAGCAGCCATGACAGTCATGCATCTGAGGAAGTTTCTGCGCAGCAAAATGGACATCCCAAACACCTACCAGGTCTGTGTCTGTATGGACTGATGTCTGGATGGACGCTAGCATTTAAATCTTTCAAATCTTACATAATGATTTTTATTTTAAATTCTGAATTAAATGCAAATGTATTCGCAGATTTTCTTCTATCTAAAGTTCTTTTGCTCTCTAGGTTGAAGTCATGTATGAAGATGAACCGCTCAAAGATTACTACACGTTAATGGATATAGCTTATATCTACACTTGGAGAAGGGTAAGAGATCTTTTCAGACAAATTCTGGTGTTTTATCTAATTGTCCTTAATTTTAAATGTCCTTGTATTGCTCATTCAATGAGATGTGTTCAAGCATTTCTACACTGTCAATAATAATCGCGTTCATCTTCATCAGCTGGAGGCGACATTTAATATAGTTCCATTTATAATACAAACTGACATAACAAAAATCAGCCAGCAAATAATAATGAAAGAAACTTAACATTTTGAATGTGTATCTGGAAATGACAGAATTTTATTTTTGTGCCTTAAGCCACCAATGTGTCAACAAAGACCCTACATTTTATTCAGTTCAATAGTTTTACAAAGCAGAGTGACTGTTAAACACAGGTTTGTATTTTGTAAGCCTGCAGATTCATTTCATTTCTGCTTTTTTTTTTTCCTTTCAAATAATCAGTTTGTTCTTTGGTCTATAAAATGTCAGAAAACTGTGAAAAATGTCAATTAGTGTTTCCCAAAACCCAAGATATCAAAAGTCTTGTTTTGTCCACAATGGGAAGATATTCAGTTTACTGTCAGGGAAGGAAGGAAGTCAGAAAACATTCAGTTTTAAGAAGCTGGAATCAGAGGATTTTTTTTCCTCTCAAAAATTACCCAGACTTTAATCAATTATCAAATATATTTTTCATTTAATTTAATAGCTGCCAACTATCTGATTAATCACTGCAGCTCTAATGTTGTGTGGTCATTTTATTTCATTTAGTTTAGAAAAATGTTTAAAAGACAGACAGACAGGAGGCTGACGGAAGGAGAAAGCTCAGAGAATTTGGGTTAAATCTTCTAATTTAATAAATTCATCTGTACAGTTTCCTATATAAGAAACATCCAGCTGACCTGAAAATGTATTTGATTTTTGTATTTCCTAAGACATTTAGGAGTTGTTTTTTGCACAGTGTATTCTTTATTTTGCTGTTTATTTTACAACAAATGGTAAATTTAGGCTTCATTTGATCAGACATGAAGGTTTTGGGACTAAGAAACAAATGCATTTTTGTCAAATATTATTTTGGGTTAGGTTCATTATGTCTGGAGCTGATTTAGTTTTATTTGAACTGGGTCAAACATTATCTAAATAATATCTAGACTAGGTTAAACTTGTTTTATTTTTAGGGTATTTGGGTTTCTTCCAGAGCTTTTGGATGAGCTGTGAAACCTGTTCAAGAACAACAACAACAAGTTTTACTGAAGCTCTTGTGTTTATTGTGACCAGACGCCTCTCATCATTTTTAATTCAATCCCTTTCCCTCCGCAGAACGGCCCGTTGCCGTTAAAGTACCGGGTCCGACCCAACTGTAAGAAGATGAAGGTGAGCCATGCGCAGCAGGAGGGCCAGAACAGCGCCAGCCGGTCCGGTCCGGAGAGCGACTCTGCCAGCGACAAAGCCGGAAGTCCCGCCGGGGCTCCGTCCACGTCCTCGTCGCTGCCGAGCCCCGGTACGCCTGCGCAGTCCCCGCACCCGCAGCTTCCGCACGCGCCCGGCGGCAACAACAACAACAGCAGCAGCAGCAGCGGCGGCGGCGGCACCGTGAACGGGACTCCAGCAGCAGCAGCAGCAGCCGCCGCCGCCACCACCACCACCACCACCACCGCCCAGACACCCAGCCGGCCCTTCACCCAGTTCGGCAGCGGAGCCGGAAAACCCCGCAAGGTCTCTCTGAACGGCTCGTCGACCTCCTCCGGATGACGCGGGGCCTCGAACCGGAGCCGCCAACGCCAGACACCCGCTCAGCTAATACTGTTTTCATGCCAACGTAGTTCCATTGTGTAGACAATGTTCTCTCTCTTTCTCTCTCCATTTGTTGTTATAAATATTATGCCATCATTTGTAAGTTTAAACGTAGTGGAATCAGAGACATTTCAAACGGAAAAAAAAGGAACGAGGAGGTTCGGGTGGGAGTTTTTATTTTTTATTTTTTATTTTAAATATGAAAGCAGATGTTGAAGGGGGAAAAAACACCAGAAGGTTGGAAAACGGACAAACATTTATCCCATTTTTTTTTTTAAAGGCTACATCTTTATTTTACAGAAGTGACTGAAGGTGACTTTTAACGTGTTTCATCAGGATCCTCTGTGTGTTGGGATATTTTCGTAGTTTGAAACACGCATGCGCACCTTTTTTTCTTTTCTGAAAGAGGGTCGGCGCCAACAGAAGTGTCTTCTTTTTTTTTTTTGACAAGTTTTTGTTCCAGGCATGGAAAGTGGGAGGTAAAGAAAAAAAAGAAGAGTTTGTATAGCGCTGTTGACTTCACAGGGGAAAAACCTATGGAGGATTAAGAAAAAAAAATCAACTTTACTGGAAAACAACAAACTTTCTTGTAGCTGCGGTGGATGAGATCGTTCATCCTCCACGTGTTTATGCGCCGTTTTAGAGAATCCGCGTGTAAATAGAAACAAAAATGCATATTTAATCAGCGATGATGTTATTCTCTTATTCCCCCTTTTGTTCCGAGGGAATGACTTGGGCTCCTGTTCGGCTTCATTTCATGCTCAATGACAGATGTTTTGATGTCTCTGTTTTCCGTATTTGTATCGCTCGATTGTATGGACAACTTATTGTATTGTTACTGTTGCACAGTATAAAACATCTAAATAAAAACATTTTACACTTATGGAGGATTTTCTTTTCTTTTATTGTGGAAGCTCATCGGTCACTCTGCTGTTTTCTTTCTTTTCTTTTTTTTTTTTTTTGCATTGACAGATAAAGGAATGATTGTGGTGTGCAGACGGTGCAAAAGCGCCAGATGTCTGTCTGAATCAGCTGATAACTGAGTTAAGGAGGCCAGCTCCGAGCGGGGAGGAGGAGGAGGAGATCTGGCCCGTGATCAAATCATGCTTCTGAATGCATTCAATTAAGACGGAAGCATTGTTTATTTATTTATTCATTCATTTTTTAATTTTGGATTCATTTGGCGCATGAGTAATGGCGTTTTACTGCAGGGAAATGCAGCATTTTTAATGGAATATTAATTAAAAAAATACACATTTAAATTCTTTTTTTAGCCAGACAGTGATTGATTTATTTTTGATTATTTAAAAAAAATCAAAATACGACATAATTATTAATTTCTTTCTCTGCGTACTTTGTGCAGTCTTGTTCTGATTTTAAATCGTCACGTTAAAAAAAAGGATTTAAATGTATTCTTAAACTAGACTAATAAGCCAATAAATTACAAGTAATCGATTAAATCATGACAAGCACATTTTTTGGAATTTTTATTTTGAAGTGATTTTATTTATTTATTTATTTTAAAAAATTTAATTCATTGTTAATTAAAAAACAAAATTAAATATAAAATAAATAAATAAACAAATCGCCCCAACTCACCCAAAAGATTCTTTAATCAAATCTAGCTGTCTCAACCAAATCAGATTTAATGTGAATGAGTGAATGAGGCAGCAGCAGGATAAACGCTCACATTGATCATACTGTCCTGAACAGATGGAAGAATGAACCGGATCAAACGAGGGTTTGCATTTTATATATTTTGTCACACAGATCATACAGACTGCATTTCTTTATGAAGAAAGGAAACGAAATATATCGCTTATTTCGTATTTATTACGCTGATTTAAACGGTGTTTGGAGCCAGAACTGAATAACAAAGTGGCTGATTTCAATTTAATGTGATCATTTTCTCTGCGGTGAAATCTTGCTTTTAAATTTCCTTTGAAAAATAATAATTAAAAAAAGCTTCTTATTTACAGGAAATAAACTTAAGATGTTTTTTTTTCTCTTTTACTGACATATATTTTAAAACGTTTTAGACACTTGCCACCAGGTGCAGAAACTATGCCAAAAAAAAGAAGCCAAATCATTGACAAAGCTTCTGCTTATCTTAAATATCTTTTAGAAACTAAATGCTGCAGCGTCATCTCAGTGGTTTTATTGTTTTATTTTGTCATTGGCACTTACTGCTGTCATTTTTTCTCACTTTATTAAACCACATTTATGTCATCTTTGATTTATTGCCTATATTACGAGGCCTGCGTCGCCTCCTGCTTACTCCACTGTTTATTTTTAACACTTCAATGGGCTGCCAGCGGAGAAAAAAAGAGAACAATCAGGTCTGGAATGATCGCATTTCAGAAACGTTTTACGACAACGATGACATTTCGTTCATGTCACTTTTAATTTTTTTTTTTTGAACGGAATTCGCGACATAACATGAGCTGATGCAGGCAGGTCATGTGAGGACAAAGGCAAGCAAAAGTTTAAAATTCAGGATCAGAAGAAGCTTTTTTGGTCAAATATGCGTTCACACACAAGAAATCTGACTTCTTTTTTTCCCCCTCTTTTAGCTCTTAAAGCTCTAAATCACACATACATTTCACAGAGCAGCAGGTTAAAGAAAGAAAAATGTGTTTTAAACTATTGTGCACAGCTACATGTGTGAAAAATAACATGTGAGTAAAAAAAAAAAAGAAGTGCAGATTGTGATGATGCGGAAATAAAAGCAATAATTAATAGAGTTAGTCAAACTTTATCTACACGAGGGAGGTGAACGATTAATTAAAACATATTTTTAAAACAGTTTTTCAAATTAAAAGCTTCACCGCGACAGCTGTTAATATGTACAAATAGGGCTTTTTTCCTTTTTTTTTTTTTAAAATGGAAAAACAAAACAATCGATTATCTCGTTTCTGCTTTCCTCTAAATTATGTTCGGTAAAGATAAAAAAAAAAAAACCGCAATATGTTTGTCTTTTAGCAAAAAACGGCGCAAACAGAGATCAGAACGCGCACAGAGCTCTCACTCTGAACGCGTTTTTTGAAAACACCTGTGAGGTGCGAATCGGTTCCGAGAAAAAAAATCCGAGTGAGTCACCTTCAGGATAGACGATCTCCGAGCCTGCTGTTGCCATAGCAACACTTGACAACAACGCTCCCTAACAGAAGCGCTGCGTTGAATCCTTGCGGTGAAACCAACACATTTTTGGGGGATTAGCGATTAAATTTGCACTTGAGAGGAGGACTCTTCCATCAGAGCCACGATGAGTCAACGACAGATCGTTCAAGGTGAGTTTTATCAGCTGTTTTTATTCACAGGTATAAGCAGCTTTGAGCTCACTCTGTTGTGTTGACTAGTTTTTGAGCAGTACCAGAAATCCAGGATGCAGTTCGTGCAGACTGTAGCTGATCTGGCAGCCAGACCACAGAACATAGAAATCCTCAGAAATGCAGGTAAGAAGTCAGATTTTAATCAGCTTGAGCGTCTGGTGTTTCCCCATCCTCACCTCTCCTCACCCCTTCCTCCAGGCGTCATGTCCATGCTGCGTCCCTTGCTGCTGGACGTGGTTCCCAGCGTCCAGCAGACTGCAGCCCTGGCTCTGGGTCGCCTGGCGGACCACAGCGACGACCTGGCCGAGGCCGTGGTGAAGGAGGACATCCTGCCTCAGCTGGTCCAGTCTCTGGCCTCGCAGAATGTGAGCGTCACACACTGTTCACCACTGACAGGGTTTCCTCCGTCCGTCTCTTGAGGCTGCTGTGTGGATGGGGGGGGAAAAAAAGACAGTCAGAGGCTGTCACCCTGCAGGATCTCAGGGTCAGCATCCCCCCCCTCCTCCTCCTCCATCCACCGCCTCAATGTGAGAATGTGTGTTGGGCTAAGTTGGCAGTTCGCCTGGGGGCTACTTGAAAACCTAAGAGCCCTTTACCACGAGAGCAACCAGGCCTTTGTTTTCTCTCCCCCGTCTCTCCCTCTCAGCCCACTCAGAGGCTCAGAAAGGAAGGAGGCGAGGTTTTACTTCTCGTTATTGAAGAGGCATGTCTTGATCTTCAAATCTATTCAATTTGTCAAATATGTGAGGAATTAAGTGTTTACTGTGAACATTTTAAAAAATCATTTATGGTGAAAAATCTCCACTGTGGGAAAAGATCAGAGTTTGAGTTTTGCAGCTTTTAAAGTGGGGTCCTGACCCTCACACACAGGGTCTGTTTGGGATCCTGGAGACTTTAAGCCTTTTTAAAAACACATTTATCAGTGTGATACCTCATGACTTTTTAGAACTGCTATAACCTTGAGAATTAGGCTTTTCTAGAATCTAATTGCCCCAAAATACAAGTTAGATTAGAGGCACAGAACAACACACACATCTCTGTTTTGCCACATAGTTTATTTATGACTGCACAAACCCTCACAGCTTCTAAAACAAATTTGCTCGTTTGGTGCAAAAAAACTTGAGTACGTGAGATGTTCAGTAAACTACAAGGCTCACAATCTTTTTAGTAGGCTTCTCGAGATGACCAGTGTGTGTGTTTGTGTGCAGAGGTTCTACAAGAAGGCTGCTGCGTTCGTGCTGCGTGCGGTTGCCAAACACTCCCCTGAGCTGTCCCAGGCTGTGGTGGCCTGCGGGGGTGTGGACGCTCTGGTGCTCTGCCTGGAGGAGTTTGACCCCGGGGTGAAGGAGGCTGCCACCTGGGCTCTGGGCTACATCGCACGACACAACGCATGTAAGGAGCACACGCTGACGAGTTCTGATTTTTCTTGTTTTCTTGGCATGATAGGATATTTTTTTTAAACACCTCGTCCTCATGTTCCCCTGCAGTGCTGTCTCAGTCGGTCGTGGATGCCGGTGCTGTCCCCCTGCTGGTGCTGTGTCTCCTGGAGCCTGAGATAGCCCTGAAACGCATCGCGGCCTCCACCCTCAGCGACATCTCCAAACACACGCCCGAGTTGGCCCAGACTGTGGTGGACACCGGTGCCATCGCACACCTGGCGCAGATGATCCTCAACCCAGACGCCAAACTCAAGGTGGGGACGGCCTGATGACTGTTTTCATGTCAGGTCTGTTCAAAAGCAGCAGCTGCTGGTTTAACTCAGCCTGTGATGTGCAACAGCATGAATCAGACACACCAGCCTCATTTTATTACCTTAGAATCATGATGTTTACAACCTATTTCTCTTTTCTTTGTCAAGTGTTTAAAGGCCCTTATGAAAGCTTCTTGCCAAGCAAAGAAAAATGATCAGAATCCAAGACAGGGAGAGTAAATATTCATGATTACACTGCATTTAGTTTTCATCATGTGTCATCTGTGACTGATGTTAACACCACACTGGAGCAGAGCTGTGAAAATATTCCTTCTAACAAAAACACTCAAAAGAGACGGTTTCTAAATATATGTATATTAAAGGGATTATTTTTTGTGTATTTATCTCATTTCCATTTAAAATTTTACTAACTCTTTTCTGTCTAAATTACATGGGATACAATTGGAATATACAAATTAATTGAACTGATGAGGAAAAATATTTTCAGCTGGATTTTATTTTAAAATACACACTCAAAGTTATTCTTCATCACAAAGAAGAATTTGGCTTCAATTTAGGCTAGAAAATACTGATTTGTATTTTTGTACAAATCACAGTTACAGTATTTGAACTTTTTAAAGGTAAAACTTAATAAAATCTGCCAAGTGGGCGTATTTTGTGCATCACAAAATGTTGGTGATGTTTTATGGATCCTAAAAGCAAACCAATGTCAAGTTTCTGTCAGTCTTAGAAAGGAGAGAGAGAAAAAAAAGCGTTGAAATTTGAACAAAAAGTGACGCCTCTTCATGAAAATCTTCTGTCTTATTTACTCTTAATTCAAAACTCAACTGTTATATATGAACATTGGCTGCATAGATTTTTTTTCTGTTTTTAACCCCAAAAAAAGTGCAATTTAAGTGTGGTTGACCAAACTACCAGGAGAAAATAGTGATATTACAACATCTAAAGGTATTAGAACAGTGAGGCCAAGTCCTTTACTTTTGCTGTAAACTGAAAATATTTGGGTTTGACATAAAATGATGAATATGAGACAAGAATTCAACATTTCAGCTTTTATTTCCCTGTATTTACATCTGGATCTGATACACAAGTAACCCCCCAAACCAAACAACAACCAAAAGAGGTGAAAGCCTGTAAAAGCATCACAAAAGAAGAACGCAAACGTTTGGTGATGTGAGCGGGTCACAGGCTCGATGAGGTTTGAGGATTTGCAACTAAACATGAAGTCTGATTCACTTTAATCTATTTTAAGTGGATCTACTCCAATGATTTTGCTCACCTAGAAATGTGGTGTTCCATTACAAATATCATCTAAGCTGTGCAGCAGATCCAGATGTTAACACCTGGAAGTA